GGCAGCCAGTACAGCTCAGCAGAGCACTCCAGAGCTGCTGGGCAGAGTGCCAAGGACGGCGGGACGAGTGTGTTGGAAGTGAGGGGGAGGTTCTGAGGGGGTTCGTGGCAGCGTGTCTCTTACTATAATGCACTTCTTTTTATTTAAGCCTCCGCTGTGTGGTTGGATCACACCTTGTGTGAGGTCACTTCTTACGCTGCTGCGGTCAGATTGCAGGCAGGTCACCAGCTCTCCGCCCCAGCCCCCTGGGATTAAGGTCTCCTGCTTAGCCCGAGGAGATTTCCACTTCCCCCTCCTTTAGCACCCACACCTGTCCTCATCCCATGGACATCAGGAGGCTTGTGGCTCACTGCAGTCTGCAACTGAGTAATTGTCCCCAACAGTGTCCAGGTCCTCAGCTCAGAGCTTGGGCTTTGTCACTGAGCATGGCAGGAGGGGCTTCACCGATGGGACAGATTAAGGTGGGTGGGATCCCCGGTCATCCAAGTGGACCCAGCACTACCACAGATCCTCATGGGAGTGTGAGATGACGGATAGCAGCTGCAGGCCACGCCCCCCTTTCTAGAAGCTGAGAGAAACCAGGAAATGATTCTTCTCTGGAGCCTCCAGGACCCCCTTGCCCTTGCTAGGGACTGGATCAGGCTCTGGCGACCTCTGTGCCACCCTGACTCTCTGCCACCTCAGGCCTCTAAGTCTGGGTCCTTGGTTACAGTGGCCACAGGACACTTACGTGTGTATCCCAGCCCAATGTTTCTGGCCTCTGACCAAAGCTGGGATGGTCCTGGGGCAGGCGGAGGGACAAGAAGAGGATGGTAGGGAGAGAGGCCTGGGGGACAGGGTACTGCCCATGGTCTCCTTGGAGCCTTCTCAGGGTGTGGGACAGGACAAGAGTCCCCTGTGCAGCTGCTACCCTGCGGCCGCCTTCCCTGGCTCCCAGCCCTCCTCAGGGCGGAGCTGGAGAGGACAGTGGTGTCCTGGGGCAGCTGCGGCAGACACGGCACCTGAGCCACCAAGGGCAACAGGAATCACTGCCAGCCTGGAGGCAGAAGCCCAGGCTTATGCTGGCATCAGGCTGCTTCCTGCAGGGCCATGAGGAAGAACCTTCTGGGCCTCCTGGATTCCTGGTGTCGCAGCCGTTGCTGGTGCCCCTGCCTTGTAGAGGCACTGCCTGGTCTGTGTCTGCATCCAGGTCTGCAGTGAGGGTGACTTAGAGCCCAGCCTAATGGCTCCACTTTAATTGGATGGCACTGCATGGCATTAGATCCACTTTCCTTTTTTTTTTTTTTTTTTGGTTTTTCTCCGGTACCAGGAACCGAACTCATGACCTTACGCTTGCCAGGCAGGCGCTTTGCCGCTGAGCTAAATCCCCAGCCCCTATTCCAATAAGCTCATGGTGGGAGGTGTTCCGGGCTAAGACTCTAGCCGGCTTCTTTACACTCAGGGTGGGGAGGCCATCTGGCTCCCTGTACACCTGTGTGGGGTCACAGTGGAGGGAGGATGCACCCGGAGAACCCCACGTGGAGGGGCTCAGGCCAGGCCAGCTGCCCACTAGGAGCCTGAGCCCTGCCACTTGCCCAGGGGGTGAGGGGCGGGAAGCCCTGTGTGAAGAGTGCTGCTAGGCCCCCGAGGGCATCATGGTCACCTGTGAAAGGCACTGGGTGTCCCATGTGGCTCCAGGGCCTGGTGCATCACCCTCCTTGGTGCAGGGGGGCTGTGGGCTAGGGATGGGAGCTGCTGGGAATGGAGGAGCCTCAGGAGAGCAGTGAGCGCACCCCACGGCAGCAGACTCAGGGACATCCTTGGAGCGACATGGGATGAGGACAGGCGCTGGTGGCTTGCTTGAGACACCCAGGGCAGCCAGCTCCAGGCCCGAGGGCACACAGGTAGCTCTGCGGGTTCCTTGGGGGCAGTGACTGAACAGGCCAAGGACACTATGGCAGGAACCCACACGTCTTCATGCCTGACGTATGGGACCTTGTGTTTAGAACCTTGGCCTGGACGTGCATGACCTCTGTGCTCGGCTTAGCCCCTTCCTGTGTGCCAGGCGCTGATGTCAGGATTGTGTGGCATGCACTCACGTTTATAGCAGCACAATTTATAAGAGCTAAATCTTGGAAATAACCCAAATGCCCATCAACTGAGGAATGGGTAAAAAGGATGTGGTATTTTTCTACAATGGAGTACTGCTCAGTATGATCTTTTTAATGATGTGTTGTGTTCTGTCTGCCAGTATCTTTCTGAGGATTTTTGCATCTATGTTCATTGAATAGATTGGCATCCTCTTTTTTTAGTTAGTTCTTTGTCTAGTTTTGGAATCAGGCTTATGCTAGCTTCCAGCAATGAGTTTGGAAGTACTCCTCCCTTTTCACTTTCATTAAAGTGTTTGAGGAATACTGATTTAATATCCTTCCTAAAGGTCTTATAGAAATCAGTGGTGAATCCATCAGGTCTTGAGATTCTCTTAGTTGCTAGTTTTTACTATTATTATTATTGCCTCAATGTCATTGCTTAGTATTGAATCATTCAGAGTTTCTATTGCTTCCTGATTCAAGTTTGGTAATTCATATGCAGCTAGGAATCTGTCTATTTCTTCAAGATTCTCCGATTTGTTTCAGTACAATTTTTCACAGTAGCTGCTAGTGATCTTCTGGATTTCAGAAGCATCTCTGGTGATTCCCCCTTTGTTTCTAACTGCTTTGAAATGGGTCTTTTCCTTCCTGCTTTCACTCAGTTTAGATAAGGATTTCTCTATTTTGTTTATTTTTTTCAAAGATGCAGCTCTTTAATTCATTGGTTCTTTATAGTGTTGTTTTTTTGTCTCAGTTTTGTTAATTTATGCTCTGGTCTTTATGATTTCCTTCTTCTGTTTGGGTTAGAACTGCTCTTGTTTTTCTAATCTCTTAAGGTGCATCATTACATTATTTATTTGCGCCTGCTCTATTTTTATAATGTGAACATTTATAGCAATAAACTTCCTTCATTGGACTGCTTTTATTATGTCCCATATATTCTGTAAATTGCACTGGCATCATGGTTTGATTCTAGGAATTGATCAATTTCTCTTTGTTTCTTCTGTGATCTGTTGAGTATTCAGGAGTGTGTTATTTAATGTCCAGGTGTTTGCATAATTTCTGTAGTTTCTTTTGCAATTGATTCTTAGTTTCATTTTGCTATGATCTGATAGTACACATGGGATGATTTCAATTCTTTTGTATTTATATAAACAGGCTTTACGCATTAATATATGGCCTGTTTTGGAGAAAGTTCCATTTGGTGCTGAGAAGAATGTGTATTCTGTTGTAATGAGGTAGAGCATTCTGTAGATATCTATTAAGTCCATTTCTTTGAAGATATGGTTTGTTCTATTTCTTTGGTCATTTGCTGTTTAGTTGACCTGTCTGTCTATGAAAGTGGGGTATTGAGCTCATCCACTCTGATTTCATCAGTGTGTATTTGATCTTTCATATCCAGTATGTTTGCTTTTATGACATTGGTACACCAATATTTGGTTCATATATATCTTTAATTGTTATCTCCTCCTGTTGAATTGTACTTCTAATTAGCATGCAGTGACCTGCTTTGACTCTTCTGATCAGTTTTAGTTTGAAGTTTACTTAGTCTGAGAATAAAATTGCTACCCTTTCTTGTTTTCAGCACCCTGATATATCATGTATTGTTTTCCAGCCTTTGACTTTTAGTCTCTGAATTTCTTTTTGCATTAGATGCATCTCTTGAATGCTACAGACTGTTGAGGTGTTTGTTTGTTTGTTTGTTTGTTTGTTTTTGATCCAGTCTGCCAATCTATGTCTTTTAATTGGAGAATTGAGGTCACTTACATAAAGTGTTACTACCAAAAGATACTGACTTGTTCTTGTCATTGTGTTCTTTTTCTGCTGACTCCTTTATTTTTCTCTCTCCCTTGCTGCCTGCCTTAGAGCCAGCTGATCATGCATTGAAATTTGTATAAACTATGAGCCCAAATAAATCTGTCCTCCTTTAAGTTGCGGGTGCCAGGTATTACATCCTGGTGATGAGAAAAGTGACTAAGACAACCATCTTCTCCCAAGATGGTGTGTATACCAGGCTGAGGGTGGGAGTGAGGCATTACAATCCAGGAGAGGTCTGGTGTCCCCTCACATGTCCTAGACAATGGATTGTGGTTTAGCTAGATTCTCTTTTCATTTATCCTCCTGTATCAGACTTTATGTTTTGCTCCCACCTCAGGTTACCTGCTTTTCCCCAGTGCCGATTCAAAGGCTGTCGTCCTTATTGTCATACCCTGGGCATCCATCTTTTCTGATTTCAAGCCCTATATATTTGGAGGACTTCTCATGTTCTGCCTGCCCTCTCTTCCTTGACTTGAGTACCACAAGGTGGGATGGGGCCTGTAGACCTCAGTTCTGAGCAAGCGACTTTGTCCCTGGTCCTGTCATCCAGCTTTACTTTTCTCTAGCCCCAGTGACCTCATCTAGTCACTTCGGTGTTGATGCTGACCAGGCAGTCCAGGTGCAGACTGGTTCCCCTGGACTCTTCCAGGGCTTGTAATCCACTGAGACCACAGTCTTGTCTTTTCCCCGCCTCTGTGGTTTGTTCATAAGGTGTACATTTGCTCTGTGCCTCTTCAGATCCTGAGCAAGAAAAGTGACGACTGAATGTCCACTGAGTCCCGCTTGTTCTTCACAGCATAGGGTGACCTTTGTCCTCTGCTATCCTTGCTACCCACCAGGAAGCCTGTAACACTAAGGTCCTCTCATAACTCAGCCTCAAGGCTTTCTGGTTTGCTCAACTCACCCTTAACTGTGTGGGGAAGTCATTTAGGATAGAAGGGGGAAGGGCAGATGCTTCTGTGTCAGGACTTTGTCAAGTGCTTGGAATTGGAATGTAGGAATATGTTTAACTTGTTTGGCTCTTACAAGATAGTGGACCTACAGCCAAAATTTGGAGTGGCCACAGGGGATCAGAGAGGTAAAGAAAATGCACACCAGCCCATATTTCCTGACACAACACTTTAATGGTTGTAGAGATTGAACTTTGTTACATCAGACTCAATAAGCTTCCTGAGAAAGTGTCCCGGAGGCCCACTGTCCACCCTGTAGACAAGTTAGCGTTCCTCAGAAAGAGAGGGGGTGGGTGGTACATTGAAACCCCCTTCAGACAACAGCTATGTAGCCACCAATCTGGAGAGAGACGACTCTCATGGCCCACGGCAGCATGCAGGGCTCTCAAGAGCTGACAGTGCTGCTCAGGAGCTGAAGCAGCATGTAGGGCCAGAACACTGAGCTGGTCAGCAGCAGGACTTCTGGCCCAAGGAGAGGCCACAGCAGGCCGGGCGAGGGCAGGCAGGGCGGCAGAGGAGGGAAACACAGGAGGTTGGGCGGCAGCAGCTGGGCTGGCAGGAGGAGGTGCAGCAGGAGGAGGCGGGCACACAGCAGGCGGGTCTGCACACGGGGCGGCAGAGCAGGGACACGGAGGAGCAGGAGGGTGTGCAGCAGACGGGCTTGCAGCAGACGGGCTTGCAGCAGACAGGCACGCAGCAGGCAGGTGTGCAGCAGGATGGCTGGCAGGGGGAGCAGGAGCAGCTAGCAAGCTGGCAGCTATTTTGCTGACAGCAGGAGGAGGAGGTGCCTGAGCAGACAGGTGTGCAGCAGACAGGTGTGCAGCAGACAGGCAAACAGCAGGATGGCTGGCAGGATGAGGAGCAGAAAGTCGGCTGGCAGCTAGATTGCTGGCAGCACATGGGTGTGCAAGAGCTGGTGCAGCCTGACTGGCAGCATGGGCTGGACACACAGTTCACTGGCGTGTAGACGAGGGTCAGGCAGGAGGCAGGGGCACAGCAGCTGGTGTCACAACAACTGGGCTGGCAGCAGCTGGAGGAGCAGCAGGGGGGCTCACAGCAGCTCTCTGGGCAGTCGTCCACCTGCCAGGAATCAGAGCAAGACTCACAGGAGCCAGGCAGGCAGACTCGGCTGTCATAGCTCAGGTCACTGGAACAGATGGACATTGTGGAGGTGGCCATGTTGGTGTTGTGCTGGAGGAGGGTGTGAGTGAGTCTGTGTGAGTGTGAGTGAGTGTATGTGAGAGTTGTGGGGCTCTCTGGCTTTTATATGCCTCCCTGCTTTGTGTTGTCCCAAAAAGAGGCTTTACAAGCTGCCCCTTCCTGTTGACGTATGGAGCTGACTGCTGAGGTCCCTCATTAGTGCCGGGTATTAAAATTGTATGTGTGGTGCAGGACTCTGCTCTACCCTCTGCTCTTGTTTTGTTTTGTCTTACTTGTTTGCTTTGTTTTGTTTTCATTTTTTTTATTTTCAAGAAAATAGTACAAAAACAAACAAACAAACAAGAACAATAGCAAAATACAAACAAAACAAAGCAAGGACACTAAAAATGATACAGGATTTCAAACCAAATGATAGGGATTAACAGTGGTTATTACATTACATATTGTTATCTTCAACGAAGTTGCTCAGATTACCAGGTGTAAGAATAGAAGATTTATCAAACCATTAAAGAGAGTAAGAAAATAATAATTTAAAAGAACATTAGAGACAATACATAGTTTCACTAGACAGGATTGTAGGAATTCACCAATGGTTGTTATACTGCAAATTGTTGTCTTCACATAAGTTGCTCAGATTACTAGAGATAAGCATGCAAATTGGTCAAAATACAAAAAAAAAACCTTTTAATTGTTAACTGTTCCCCTCAATAAACCATCAGATATCAGCAGTACAGTTATGCCACCTATCCATATCTATATAGAGAGAGATATAAAATGCCTTAGTGCTTTCTTTTTCTTCTTTCCCTCATCCCAGCTGTTCCTTCCTTTGAGCAATTTCTTTCCCTTTCCTATTATCTATTGTACATTTTGGGTTTTATTTACTCTTTCATGTTCTTACACCAGGGAGACAATATGATGTTTAGACCTATGGGTCCTATTTATTTCACTTATAATGGATGTTTGTTTTGTTCTATTTGTTTGTTTGTTTTCTCTGCTTTTATTTTGGCTCTGGAGAAGTCATGGCAAATGTGTGGGGCAGGCTTCTGCTGACTTCAAGTGTTAGAGGTGGACCCTTCTTGTTCTACCAGTCCTGTGTTTGGATTACATTTTTATTGCTTTAAGCATTTTAAAATATAAATGTGAAGAAAAACTTCCATATCTTACAAAATACAACTGGCACCAAGGATTGGATAACAAGGCCTCTGATCCATGTCACCTGTGCCTTGTGAGAGAGGGGCTCAGGGATCCAACTGCTGGTGGAGCAGTGCTTTCTCCTTTCAACTCTTCTATTCCCCCATGAGGTAGTTAGGGATTCCCTTTTGATATTTCTCATTTTCATTTTGCCATCATGAAAGAGCAAGGGATTTTTTGGTAAGTGGTGGTGGGTTTTACATTTCAATGTTCTTTGTGTGTATGAAAATGTTATGAATGCCACCATCACATTTGTGTGATAGTTTGGCTGGGTATAGAAGTCTAGCTTTAGCTAGATATTTCCTCAAAACAATGAAGACATAGCTCTTTTCTCTCTTCTCCCTCTCTCTCTCTCTCTCTCTCTCTCTCTCTCTCTCTCTCTCCCTGTGTGTGTGCAATATCTTGTGTTGTTGGTGAAGGTTCAGTGTTTGTCATTTCTTTGTGTCTGTTTTTCAAGAATTTGGGAGTACTTGGCTTTCTTCATCCTTTTTCAAGAATACCATCTATTTGCTTCTAAAATTGTGTGTTATTTCACTCTGTGGTTGGAAGTCATCAAACCTTTCAATATGAAGACTCATCTCAGGAAATACTCTGTGGTATTTTAAAAATAATTTCCTCTTTCCTGGCCCTTCTTGTTGTGACGCTAGACATCAGAGCTTCTGGACCTAGTTTTCATATTTCTTAATTCTTCTTTCATTTTCCTCATATTTATCCTTTGCTCTCTAGGAGATTTCTTAATCTTATTTTTAAGACCACGTCCCAATCTTTAGCCATTTCCACTCTATTATTTGGCCCATATATGACATATTTATTTGTAATCTTTTAATTTTCAAAAATTATTTCTGAATGTTTCTTTCTCAAAACCGCTTGATTTTGCCTTGTAATAAGGATGGAATATGTTCTCCACTAACACCAATGATGTTTTTTTGAGTTTTTTAAAGTTCTCCCCATTTCTTAAACCACTTTTTTCACAGGATATTAGATAAGGGCAGCTCACCATTTTTCTGAATAAAGGACTACATTATTTTGTTCTTCTGTCTTGGTAACCTACTCTACCAATCTCTTTCATATACTTCTCTATTCTTTTTTTTTTTTTTTTTTTTTTTTTACTTCTCTGTTCTATAACACATAAAGGGTCCTGCTGAATCCATAGCTTGTTTTTATACAATTCCAATTTTATCTTTATTATAATCCTTTAAACATTCTCTCCGTGGGTGTTAGTGATGAACCAGGAGCTTAGTCCACCTTCTGAAACTGAGGAATTCAGTGTCACCTTCAGGAAAGTCAACAATCCCGGCACTACAGAATGTCAGTTACTCTCTCATTTCTCAGGCCTGCCACCCTAGTGTGGCCTCTCTTCAAAAACCCTGATGGAAATCAGATAATCCATAAAGCCTGAGAGCCCACAAATGCTGACTGATTCCTCCCACGGCCATGCCTGGCTTGCTTTGCCCCAACTATTACCTACTTCCCTCAGGCCGAGCTCCTGGGAAGGCCTTGTGCTGGGTGCCTGTGCCAGGACAAGGAGCTGGGAAGCCTCACTGGTCTCTGGGACACGCCCTGGTTCACACTGCAGTCTCAGAATCCACTCGACTGGACGGCCACCTGACTCCACTTCCTCCTACTTCTCATCTACCACTCGGCTTACCTGGAACTTCTATCTCCTTGGACCTGGCCTACTGGTCACTGTCCAAAGTGTGCTCCTGTCCCCTTCTCTTGACCCAAGCCCTTTGAGCTTCAGCTATTGATTACATCTAGATCCCCTCTCTGGGGACAGACTTCTGCCTTGGGACTTGGTTGGGAGCCAGGAGGCAGGTCCTGTGGAGAAGGAGTAACTGCTTCTGCTCACTGGCTGGGCATCTGAGTGAGGGGACACAGCAACCAGCTGGTGCTGGCTGGACAGATGTCAAGGGCCAGGCCACAAGTGCAGAGGCTAGACACCAGAGTGTAGGCACCATGAGCCATACAGGGCCTGAACAGATGGGTTTCCTCTGTATTGCACTCCCACATCCCTGGTCAGGGGCCCCGGCCCATGCTCGCCTTGTTTCTGATGCCACAGGAGGCACCTCAGTGGTGGTCAGTGGCCACCAAGCAGGCACCAACTGGCTGAACACAGGCATGGTCTGATTCTCACAGGCTCTGCCTCCACCTGACCAAGAGTTGTGCCCTGGGCTGTTGAGTATAGCAACTCGAAGTGTGTGTGTGCATGTGTGTGTGTGTGTGTATCAACACTGGGACACAGAACTCTGCTGGCTTCTCTGCTGCTGTACTGGCATCCTTAATCACGCCAATTCTAACTTGCACTCTATGCTCTACTTGGGAACGACACATTATTCTTTTCACTCAAGCCTCACTGAGGTACGATTGGAAAATTAGAATGATGTACATGTAAGATGCAGTGTGATGATCTCACTTGTGTACAGCACTGGATAACAATGAACACCGCTGAGCTAATGCACCCAGCCACCCCCTCACTTAGTGACCGCTTGCATATGGCGAGACATCTAAGGTCTCTCCCCACAGCAGATGTCAAGGATCCGGAGCCATGCTGTCTCTTACAGTTGCTGCACAGTACAGCAGATCTCCAGACTGTTTAGACCCTGCACAGCTGGACCCTGCACTCTGCCTTGACCTCCCCCTGTCCTTCCCACCCAGTCCTCTGGTAGCCTCTGTGCCACTCTGCCTCCGTGAACTTGCCACTTTTAGATTCCACAGAAAGTGAGACCACTTTGTCCCTGGCTTCTTTCACTTACTGTTACATCCTCCAGATCCTTCCGTGCTCCCAAATGTCAGGATTCCCTTCTTTCGAAGGCTGAGCAGGGCTCCATGGCATATCCACACCGCACCTCCCTTATCCATCTCTCTGTTAGAGACTCTTAGGTAGTGTCAGTGTCTCAGCAGTCAAGCCCGCCGCTGCAGCGGTGGTGGAGGACAGACGTCTCTTTGGGGTTGTGACTTCCTTCCTTTGTATGTTTGTCCATACTGGGGTGCTGGGACATACTGTGGCTCTTTTTTAATGTTTGAGGAACCTCCATACTGTTTCCCATAATTTCATTTAGAATCTGTCACTTTATATATTTGTCTTGCTTACTTTTCTCTCGTTGCTGAGACAAAATATGCCACACCCAAAATGAAGGAAGGAAAGGTCTATTTAGCTCACAGTTTGTGGAGGTTTCAGTCCATAATCAGCTGGCTCCAAGGCAGGGTGGGGAGCAGAGAAGCAACAGTTCATAGTCATGGAAAACAGCAAAAACAAGAAGAGCAAAGGGAGGGGGCAAGCCTCTTTTCCTCCCTTATACTGTAGGCCAGGCTACCCGCCCTAGGGTGAGTGTAGCACTCACACCCTCTCCTCTTGCACAAGCTCAGGATGTTCACAAAGGAAGGACCTGGCCCCCTGCTGAGCCACTTAGTTAAACCTCTAGACTTCTCAATTCTCAAGCTGACACAATGCATCAACCATTACAAGGTTTAATTGAGTACAGTTTATACCACCACCCTGCCCCTGTTGGCTTTGAACTGAAGGTTTTGCTGGTCTTAGTAGATAAATCTAGAGATCCTTCAGCTTATTCTAAGCTGTAGAATGTTTTAAATAGCACAGGAAAGGTCTATATATGAAGACTCATGGCACATACCTTTCAACCCCTTTGAATTCGTGTGTTTTTGTTTGTTTGTTTGTTTTGGTTTTTTCTTTCCGGTACCAAGAGTCAAACTCACGACCTTGCAATGACCAGGCAGGCACTGTGTCACTGAGCTAAATCCCCAGCCCCAAAGTTTAACCTTGAGGCTTTTTTTGGTACAGGGAATCAAACTCAGGACCTTGCACTTGCCAGGCAGGGACTGTGCCGCTGAGCTGTATCCCCGGCCCTACTTATTTATATTTTAAATCTATCAAAATTCCTTCCCCTGATTTTGTTAAATTAAATTTTAAATTATTTTCTACCTTACTAAATTGGATAATTAAATTTTGCTTTCTAGCCCGTGTATTCGAGGATGTGAATATTTGTTAGCAGAATTTGTCCGTGTCATCGTCTTGCTTTTGCCTGTTTGCCTTACCCCAAGTTGTCTGTGATATCCTTTTTAACTTGCTTTGTGGAAGCAGCCCTCTAGATTTCCAAGGGGGCAGGTGTCTCCGGAATAGCAGTCATGGCTGGTGGTGGTGACACCGGGACACCCTGTGACCCCGCCCTCTGGATTCAGAGCATCTCCTCCACCACATTTGGTGGAAGCTGTGCATTTGCTGAGGCGTCAGGACAGAGCGCTTTCTCTCAACCCTGGGAGAAGACTGAGCTCTGGGGCTGGTGGGCAGTGGCTCTGGGCCCCCTCTGAAGTCGCCCTGGTGTGGAGGGGCGGCCAGAGGGCTCCCTGGGGAGGCTGTGTTTGCGTGACTTCCCTGGACCCAGGTCTGGCTGCTCATTGCACACTGTGCCAGTGAAGTGGAAGGACAAGGTGTCGAGGGAAGGAATGCTGGACACAAAGGTGGAGGACTGTCACAAGGCCCACCCTGCTGGAAGCTGCTCCAGGATGGCGGTGACGAGTGTCCCAGAGGGTGGCTTCACTCTGTGGGGGCTGGAGGCTGCACATCTGGTCCTCACTGCACAGCCATGGGATGCTGTTCGGTGCTGCACCCCAGAGAACGAAGACGAACAGTTCCCTGGCTGTGCACGGCCGGATCCCTTAGCTGCCCGTTGCAGTCCTTGCTGTGTCACACCTGGAGGGGGCAGCTGCCCGGCTTCTGCTGATGCCCATCCCCTAGGGGTGAGGGAACACATCCTCAGTCCTAGGCGAAAGCCTCATCTGCACCCCTGGTTCTTGTCCAAGTGATGGAAAGGAGGAAAAATTCCTACTGGAGCCTGGGCTGAGCTTCGCGGATCCCCAGCCCATTACCATGATGCTTCCAGCTGCTCCTGGGAGCTCCTCTTGTACACCTTCCCTGGGCTGGTGCTTGTTTCCTCTCCTTCTGGAGCTCTGCAGCAGGTCAGAGCTGGGCCTGGGGCAGCATCTCAGCTCTCCTAAGGTGCACTTCCATCCTCCTCGTGCCACCTTGCAGCCGCCCAGCCTCCCAAGGCCACCCCCACGCCAAGGCCCACTGAGTCACATGTCACTCAGAGCCTGTGCTTCAGCTCTAGGAGCCCCGTACTGCCTCCCCCCTCCTCCTCCTTCCCTTTCACAGCATCTTCTGAGAGCGCAGAAGCCTGCCCAACCCCACATCTTCAGGTACCTGCCACCAACTGCAGTTTGAAATATTAAATGGAGAATTCCAGAAATAAGCAATTCAGAGTGTTTAGGTTTTTATTAGGGCATATTATTGTCACCACGCCATTTTACGTTAGTTATTGCCAATGGTCTTTTCCTGTGCCTAATCACTGAAGTGGACTCTACGGTCGGGAGTGGAGGGCAAGCAGCTGTCGGCAGGCCCCATGGTGGCAGGGGAGGCTTGTCAGCAGCAGGACTTCTGGCCCAAGGAGAGGCTGCAGCAGGCCGGGCGGGGGCAGGCGGGGCGGCAGAGCAGGGACACGGAGGAGGATGGTTGGCAGCAGCTGGGCTGGCAGGAGGAGGTGCAGCAGGAGGAGGCAGGCACACAGCAGGAGGGTCTGCACACGGGGCGGCAGAGCAGGGACACGGAGGAACAGGAGGGCGTGCAGACAACAGGCGTGCAGCAGGATGGCTGGCAGGGGGAGTAGGAACAGCAAGTAGGCTGGCAGCTAGACTGCTGACAGCATGAGGAGGTGGTGCCTGAGCAGGCAGGTATGCAACAAACAGATGTGCAGCAGACAGGCTTGCAGCAGACAGGTGTGCAGCAGGCAGGTGTGCAGCAGGATGACTGGCAGGGAGAACAAGAGCAGCAAGCCGGCTGGCAGCTAAACAGCTGGCAGCAGGAGGAGGTGCCTGAACAGGCGGATGTGCAGCAGACAGGCTTGCAGCAGACAGGTGTGCAGCAGACAGGCACGCAGCAGGATGGCTGGCAGGAGGAGGAGCAGCAAGCCGGCTGGCAGGTGGAGCTGGTACAGCCTGACTGGCAGCATGGGGTGCAGATGAGGCTCAGGCAGGGGGCTGAGGTGCAGCAGCTGGGCTGGCAGCAGCTGGGCTGGCAGCAGGGGGGCTCGCAGCAGCTCTCTGGGCAGTCGTCCACCTGCCAGGGCTCGGTGCAAGCGCTGGAGCAGACGGACATGGTGGAGGCGGCCATGGCAGGGTCGGGCTGGAGGAGGTGTGAGTGAGTGAGTGTGAGTGAGTGAGTGTGAGTGTGAGTGCTGTGTGAGGTGCTGGGCTCTGGGCTTTTATCCTCTCCCTGTGCCCGTGTCCCCGGCCTCTCCTTCCTTGTTGTTGACCCGGCACTGCTGTCATCAGGGATGTTTGTTTTCAGTGTGTCTGGCTCGTTAATCTCCTGCTGGGTCTGTCCAGGAGCAGGAAAAGGGTGACCTGGGCCCATCTGCGTCTGGGAGTGCTCACGGCTGGGGTGTCAGTGGACCAGCATCTATGCCCTCCATCCCAGCCTGTGAGCATGAGACGCATCATGTGGGCTGGAGCCTCACCCACCCCAGGCCACCTCCTGTTCACTCTGCCTTCGCCTTCTGATCCTGGCTCTGGGATGGGGGCCTCTCACTGTGTCTCTGTTATATTTTGCCCACTATGTGGCAGAGATGAAGTCCATGGACTTCCCACCGTATGGACAGACTTGCTGATATCTCTTTTTTTTTTTTTTTTTTGTTTTTTTGTTTTTTTTGGTTTTTCTCCGGTACCGACTTGCTGATATCTCTAGGACCATGAACACCTTCTCCCCAACAGTCCTGTTGATCATGGCTTCACATTTATACATGAAGCACACACACCTCTGCCATTACAGAATGAGATATGTATTGTGAGTTGCTAAGTGGACTTCCCCTGTCAGCCTGAACCGGGCAGAGGTGAAACTGTACCTTGTCCTAAAGGTGGTGGTGACACTGGGGTCAGCCCTCATCCCACAGGGCTGTCTCAGTGAGCTACAAGAAGACCCTGCGGACGGCTGCCACACTCTGGCGCAAACTGCGTGGTTGTGAGAGGCAGTAGTGGCCCCCACAGTCTTCTGAAAGTGCAGTGACTGCAGGAGCGAAGCCTCATTCTGCCATGGCACTGACCCCTAAAGCAGGTCCTGGCTGGCAAGGCAGGAGCAGAAGCCGCAGCTGGAGCACCAGTCACAGAGACGCCAGCCCCAGACACAGTGAGGCCCAACTCTGCTGCCCCACGTCCCGCACCTGTCCCCAGCCCTGCAGAGGACACAAGAGCCGCAGGAGGGAGGAGAGATGCCAGGCAAGGAGGCCTCCCACACTGTCCCTGGGGCCCACACAGGCTTTCTTGGGGGAGGTGAGACCTACAGGCTGCAGGTTGAGGAGAAATTGAGCCCTGCCTGCTTTGGGTATGGATTTGTCCCACGTGGTACAGGAACACGCATTGCCCTATCACCAGCCTTCTCCTCTGCGGCTCTGAGCTCTGCTGACTGCGGGTCTTTGCTGGTCCCTGCTCTCACCCGCCTTCCCTTTCCCCAGGCAATGGGGACGTCTCGGGAGCTGGATGCAGGCTCTTCCTGCCACCATATCATCTCCAGGTGCCAAAAATGGTGCCTGACACACAGGAGATCTTCATAAAAATAGCTCAAAAAGAACGCACTTTCTTTGTAAAGAAATTATGGAGGAGTAAGTTTGGGTTCTGAGAATGACTGTTTGGGGCCGACCTTTCCCTGAGCAGTGTGAGGTGCTCCGCCAAGTTGAGCTCCACAGATGGGGAGCTGGCTTGCTCAGCCTGGCTGCCTGGCAGGGAACAACTAGGACACTGGGCTGACAGAGAAATCCCTCATGCAGGCCGCAGAAGAGAGGAAAGAATGATTAGCATATAGGTAAATAAAATAGAGGGTAGAAAAACAATAGAATCAATGATGCCAAAATTTTGGTTCTTTAAATAGAACAACAGAATTGAAAAAAGCTTTTAGTTACACTGAGTAAAAACTAAAAGATACAGAAACATCAGCACTGCCCTCATCTAAATAAAAAGGGTTGTGAAAGAACAGCATGAATAGGAAAAACAAGGTGCAGTGAGCATGTCCCTATCAGTACACCAGTGACCCAACCTGACATCTGTGCTGTTGCTTCATTCCTTCCTATAGCTTCAACTTACCGTCTAGAGCCAGTTTATTCCACCCTGGATTAGCATTTCTTGCGAGGCAGGTCTATTAGCAGTTCATCTCTCAGCTTGTGTATATCTGTGAATGTGCTGCATTCACTTTCAGTTTTGAAATTTGACAATTATGTGAGATGAACACTCTTCTTGGTTAGGGGAGGCTCCCCCACACCAGACTTTCAATACGCCATTCCATTGCTTTCCGAACCCCACCATTTCTGAAGAGAACCAGCTGTTAACCTCTCTGAGTGCACTCAGATTCTCTGTTTCTGATGTGCAGTGGTTTGATTACTCTGCATCTCTGTGCAGCTGTCCTTGAACTTATTCTGCATGGACTCTACATGTTTCTTGAAAGTTTAGGTACATGTGTTTTATTAAAACTAGGAAGGTTTTGAGTATGATTGCTCTTTCCAACTTCTCTCCTTCTGCAAGTCCTGATAAGTGTACCTTGGTGTGCTCGAGGATGTCCCACAAGGGTCTTAAGCTTTGTTTACTTTTCTTCCTTTAAAAAATCTGTTCCATACTAGCATATTTCCATGGATGTTCATTTTCACTGATTCTTCTGATGCATAAATCTGCTGTTCAAACCCTTAAGTGCATTTTTCATTTCAGTTATTGTACTTTTCAATCTCCCAATTCTTTTTTGTCTTTTTGAGACAGGGTTTCTGTATGCAGTTCAGGCTGGCCTTGAGCTCACTTTGTAGCTGAGGCTGGCCTCGAACTCACAAAGGTCCTCCTGCCTCAGTCTCCTGAGTGCTGGGATTACAGGTGTGTGCCACCATACCTGGCTGTAGTCTCCCACTTTTTATTTGATTCTTTTGATACATTTCTCCCTTTGTTGATGTTCTGTATTTGATGAGCTCTCCTTCTCCTGCCCTCTCTTCATTCTTTGTGCATGGGATTATTTTTCTGAAGTAGCTTTGTAAAAGTGGCATTATTCTTCATTGTGGTCACCATTCCATCCACTGAGTGCTCAGACAGTGATTTGGTGGAGTTAGCCCCTGTGGTTATGGCTTGGGTCTTTACTGTTCCCCAAAGGCCATGTGTGAAGTCTTGGTCCCCAGCCTGTGGTGCTGGTGGGCAGTGGTGGAACCCTTAGGAATTGAGCTCATGTGGGGAGGAAGTCAGGTCACTTTGCTGTGCCTTTGATGGGGACATGGGGACCCCAGCCTCTTCTTGCTTCTCTCTTGCTTTCCAGCTACCCAAGGTGAGCATCTCCTCTACCACACACTCACACTGGGATGTTTTATTCATTTCAGGTGCAACCAACAGGCAGACAACAATGGAGTGAAATTCCTGAAATTGGGAGGCACCATAAACCTTTCCTCCCTATAGGTTGTTTACCTGAGGTATTTTGTCACAGTGACGGAAAGCTGGCTCACACAACTGCATCCAGAAGTATTTTTTTCTGGGTTTATTTTTTTTCCCTGATTGTGTTTGTATGTTGAGCACACCCCAACTCTAGCAGCCTTTCCTTTTGCCTCCTGTTCTGCCTTCACTTCCTGCTCCCACTTCACTTCTTGCTCACAGCTCCACTTCCTGCTCACACCCCACTTCCTGCTTATGTCTTCATTTCCTGCTTGTTCAGAGCTTGAGGGTCAGCCCAGGCGATTATGAGAGCTACTCAGGGGTTTTTTGAGACTGTATCCTCATTGGGCATGTGTGTGATCTATTAGATTCCAGAAATGTGCAGAATCAAAGACCTTATTCCCTAAAGCGCCTCATCCACCAGCTGTTCTTAGGCTTTTAAGGGGTCCATTTCCCCCAATCTGACATCCTTTGCCCTTGGTGGTGATGACTAGCTCATTCATCTTTAAGTTTCCTGACAAGTACTCTCTTTGTAGCTACTTCTACACCTCAAGCAAGTCTTGAGTTTGGAGAAATCAAGGCAGGCCATTTCTGTTGGTCCTTCAGGCCACCCCACATTCATCAAGAAATAATCATATTTTCTTGTAATTAAGGTCCTCTTACCCCACTTGGTATCAGACCCCAAGCCCATGTCTAGCTCGGGCAGCAGGCAGTTGGGAGCAGAAATTCTCCAGAGCCCTTCTGGGCCCAGATGCTGATTTGGGCTTCATTGTGCCTTTCTGGTACTGCCACCATCCTCACCCTCTTCAGACCAGGGATGTGCCTCAAGGAAGACACTTTTTCCATGTCTGAAAGGGGGTTCCAGACTAGATTCTCATGAGAAGCGCACAACCCAGAATCTCAGAGTCACAGTTCACAGTCGGGTTCTCTCCTGTGAGAATTCCACACCGCTGCTGGTATCACAGGAGGCAGAGCTCAGGGAGTGATGGGGGTGGTGGGAGAAGCTGTGAATGCAGATGAAACTTCACTCCCAAGACCACTGCTCCCTTCCTGCTGAGCCAGCCAGCTCCTAATCTGCCAGGGGGTTTTCACCAGGGACCCCTGACCTGGGGAGTGTTTTCCACAGTTCAGAAAGCATTGCCAGATCCTCGAATTTTTGGTCTTGGATTCTCTCTCTCTCTCTCTCTCTCTCTCTCTCTCTCTCTCTCTCTCTCTCTGTCTGTCTCTCTCTGTCTCTCTGTCTCTCTCTCTGTTTCCCAGTGCTGTGTCTCTCTGGCATGACAGACCTTCTTGCATCCTTGCTCCCACTGCTTCCTCTGATGTCACTCTCAAGAGGGAGAATTGGGAAGAGTGCCCGTGAGCTGTGGATAACTTTTTTGGCCAGGGGTGCATGGTTGGTGTTTTAGTTACTTTGTTTTCACTGAGACATGATAGAAGGTAAAGGAGGGAGGCTTATTTGGACTAACAGTTTTGGAGGCTTATTTGGACTAAAGGTTTTAGTTCATAGCTGGCTCCAACAAAGGGCAGCATTACAGCGAGGGAATGGAGGACAAGCTTCTCTTCAAGTGGGGACCAGAAAGTGAGGGGGGATATCAAGGGAGTCGTGAGCTTACACCCACAGTGACGCACTTCTTCTAACCAACCTTCCCTCCTAACAGCAAGTTAGCTATACCA